AAAAGGAACAAAGAGGCTGTTGAACTCAAGCCGCCCTTTCTGCACTTTCCCCGCATCCCATACATCATACACACACGAAATGGCAAATAAAGGCACGATCTTTACCATTTTCAAAATCCCCACATATGAATTTTTTCCCCCTTTGTTGTCTGAAATTGAAAAGGATATCTGAAATCTTGGCAGATTTTGAGTATGGCCTTTTTGAGCCGAACCCCAAATTCTTCCTCATCCCCACATTTCCAATCCACAAAGCGAATCAAGTTGTTTGTTAACTCTAAGCCAGTTATCACCACCACCGTCAGCTGCGCGTCGAAATCGCCTTTCACGGAGAAGCACGCAGCGGAAAGGTACCATAGGGACAGCTGGGTGTACAAGGGCCGTAATCAGCCAGCTCCGCCGCCGTCTTCATCCTGCCCGCTCATTTCCGACCGGGAATCGGTCAGGGACTACGACATAGCTCTGCAGCTGCCCGAACTGAAGAGATTGCTCGAGGTTTTGAGGGGAAAGAGGGGGAACGAAGGAGGAGGTGGGCCCCACGAAAGGGGGCCCGGGAACGTGTTCTTGGTGGGGACCGGGCCCGGGGACCCGGAATTGCTGACGCTCAAGGCGTTGAGAGTGATCGAAAGTGCCGATCTTTTGCTGTATGACAGGCTGGTGTCGAACGATGTGCTGGATTTGGTGGGGCCCAATGCTAGGCTTCTGTATGTCGGGAAAACGGCTGGATACCATAGCAGAACTCAGGTTGGTTTGTCTTGTCTTGTTGTTATTGTTGTCTTCATCGTTCGTTCTATTGTATGGTTTTGATAATGTGTAGGTTTTGTGCTTGTGGGTTTGGTTTAATAAAACTGGATGTAAGACTGAAACATGCAAGTTTTAGTGAAATGGGATATGTTCATTACTTTCTTGTTTGTGTTATTGAGGTTGAGATTCTTGATTGATATGTTGATTGGTTTTTAAGTGAATGATCTGAATGATGAATTGTCTTTAGCTATGAAATGGAGATTTCAATGGATTGAGATGATTCACTTGCTGCAAGTTTTAGTGAAATGGGATATGTTCATTACTTTCTTGTTTGTGTTATTGAGGTTGAGATTTTTGATTGATGTGTTGATTCTTGATTGGTTTTAAGTGAATGATGAATTGTCTTTAGCTGTGAAATGGAGATTTCAATGGATAGAGATGATGCACTTGCTGGTATGTTCTGCCATGACTTTCGGTTATGGGATTAGTGTTTAGAAATAGAACAGGAGCATTGTTTAATGTGCCCTCAATGCATTTTCTTCAGTGCAGCCAAATAATTGACTTTGTAGAGTTTTATGATTCTGTAATATGAAAAAGA